CCCTGCACCCCTGTCAGAGGCGCATTCTCCAGCACCTCCACACAGTACAGCTGAGGCTGCAGCCTTGTGAAGCCCTTGATACTGAAGCCAGGCTTGAAGAGCTGAGTGTGGCTGAACATGGGGAGGAAGAAGATGAGGAGGAGGAGGAGGAGGGAGACAGTGAGGCTCTGGAGACCAGCGAGCTGGAGCTATCAGAGAGCGGTGAGGGTTTCCAGGATGAGTGGTCCCATGCCACTGCAGAGAGAGGGGCTCTGGGAGGGGAGACCTCGCTGGGGGTGGCGCTAGGGGTCAAGGTGAGAGAGGATGTTCAGTCGGGCTGGGAGGTCACCTATCCCCTGGGCAGTGAGTGAGGGCAGCAAGGGCCGGTCCCTCCACTGCCCTCCACTTGAGGTGACACCTGGCCGGCCATAGGTGGGGGAGTGGCGCTTCCTCTGCTCACAGTTGGGGTGGGGGCTTGGCTCTCCAGAGGACGAGGCTCCAGGGGAGGACGAGGAGCTGCAGGGCTGCCTAGGCCAGCGGAGGGCAAGCAAGGTGAGACCCAGTGCCTCTGCTAGCAGCAGGCACCTCATACACGTCCCTGCAAAAGCTCGCCACACCCTTCCCATGCCCCAACCCCCTGCACATGTCCCACATACTCCTGCACACACTCTACCCACTTCTGCACATGCCCCCCATGTCCCTGCACACGTCTCACACACCCCTGCAAACACCCTACACACACCAGCTAGTCTGCCCCCTCATGTCCTCCTCCTCCTCTGCCCTGTCCTGGGCGGCTCGTGTCCACAGTGGAATCGGCGGAATGACATGGGTGAGACGCTGCTTCACCGAGCCTGCATTGAAGGTCAGCTGCGTCGTGTCCGGGACCTGGTGAAGCAGGTAGGCTTGGGCCCCAGGCGCACACAGCCTGTCCTGACCCCCTGGGGGGGGCCTCTTCCCTGTCTGGACTCAGCTGGGTATCCATACCCCTCCTGTCTCACTCAGGGATCCTCACCCTTCCCCAGCCTCTCCTTAGGCCCCATGCTTTGCCTTGGGGGTCTTGACCCTATCCTAACCCCAGTGGGCACCCAAGACCATCCTGGCACAGCCTGGGGTCTACGTCACTGTGCCCTGCTGGCCCCATCCCCGAGCGCCACCACTCCCACCCACCCACCCCGGCTGCCTGTTGTCTCCGGCCAGGGCCACCCCGTCAACCCTCGGGACTACTGTGGCTGGACACCCCTGCATGAAGCCTGCAACCACGGCCACCTGGGTGAGCCAGGGGATCTGTGGACAGTAGATGGGGGTCCTGGGATGAGGAGGAGACTAGGTGCTGGGTTAATGCTCCCACTGCCACAGAGATTGTCCGCTTCCTGCTGGACCATGGGGCCGCGGTGGATGACCCAGGGGGCCCAGGCTGTGAAGGCATCACCCCACTGCATGATGCCCTTACCTGTGGCCACTTTGAGGTGGCCGAACTGCTTGTTGAGCGTGGCGCATCTGTCACAGTGCAGACCTCCAAGGTGAGCTGGTGGGTGGGGCGTGGGATAGGGGCAGGGGCAGGGGCTCACTACCAACTGATGAAGACCTGGTGTGACCCTCACAGGGACACAGCCCCCTGCAGACATTGCACCAGTGGGTAGGGCTGTACAGCAGCGACCTTGACCAGGAGACATGGCAGAAGGTTGGCAACATGGAAAGGCTGCTTCAGTCAGCGGCAGCAGGCCAAGGCAAGCAGGGACACGGCCAGTTCTAGAGGACATCTCTGGGTGCCTGAGGGGTACAGTGGACAGGTAGAATTCTTTTGTCGCTGGTCTTACCCCAGACCTTTTTCCCCACAGCTGCTCAATTGCCCAGGACCTTACCCAGTAATCCTCTGTTTGATCCTGAGACCACTCCTCCCCGGAGCTTCTGCTCAGAGTCCTCCCCTCGTCCCCCAAGGCTTCCAGATGCCTTGCCAGCCCAGACCAGGCTCTCCCCAGTGTCTAGACCTCGGAGGGGCCAGCGTGGGCTAGACAGCAGCAGTGGGTCAGAGAGCGAGGACAGCGAAGGTGCCCACCAGCCAGCCCAGAAGAGGCTTCGGCCTTCAACCTCTGGCCCCCAGGCCATCAGCCCTACTGGTGACAGAGAAGCAGATGTAGCCAGTGCCAGCCGGGCCACCTACCAGGCGGCCATCCGAAGTGTGGGCAGTGCCCAGAGCCGCTGTTTGGGGCTCAGCCTAGCTCGAGAATTTGGTGAGACCCCTGTTCTCCGAGAAGCCCTGGTTCCGGAGGAGGAGTGCCTGGCTGAGGACTGGCTAGACGATGACTTAATGCTGACCGTCAGCCACCAGAGGCGAAGCCGCCCACCCCAGCTCCTAGGCAGTGGAGACGGTCCCAGACGAGGCACCTCGGGCTTGAGCAGTGGCCAGCGTTCCACCAGACCCCAGACTCGGCAGAGCCGTCTGAGATTCCCCCTCCACCAGGAGGGCGGGTATGCAGTGGTCACCTCTGGTAGAGAGGCCAGCTCAGCTGCTGATAATCCAGGAAGCCCCAGACCCGGCCAGGAGAACCTCTCGGCTGGACAGTCATCAGTGGGTTCCTTCGTGTGGCTAAAGGGATGGTGGGGACCACTACAGAGTGGGGAACTTCCCTTCTGACTTCCAGCTGCTCCTCCACCAGGGACCGATCCCAGCCCCTCCCCTCCGTGTCCGTGTCCGCATCCAGGATAACCTCTTCCTTATCCCGGTCCCACACAGGTAAGATGCGAGCCTGCCTCGCTCTCTGGTGGCCTAGGTTGGGAGACACTTGGCAAGGTCTTTGGTAGCTGGCATGGACCACAGACCTGGGCAAGGGAATAAGTGGAGGCCACCACGATGCCCTGTGCTCCCATCCATAGCTGTCTAGAACAGCCTGGCCGGGTCAGAGTTTCATTGAGCTGCACTAAGTCAAGGGGTGTGTCCGAAGGCCGTAGGAAGCCAGATGGTGACCCCCATGGGGATGCGTCTGGGAGCTGGGCTCTCGGCTGGGTCTGGCTCAGCACCTTCTGCTCCACAGCACCGAGGTCCATTCTGTGGCCTGGCTGGCTGAGCAGGCCACTCAGCGCTACTACCAGACCTGCGGCCTGCTGCCCAGACTGACACTGCAAAAGGAGGGGGCGTTGCTGGCCCCCCAGGACGCCATCCTTGATGTGCTACAGAGCAATGAGGAGGTGAGGGGCTGGAGCGAGGGTAGAGGATGAGGGCTGGGTACCCAAGAGTCCACTGACCATGCCTTCCAGGTACTGGCCCAAGTGACTTCATGGGATCTGCCCCCGCTGGCTGACCGCTACCACCAGGCCTGCCAGAGCCTGGGCCAAGGTGAGGCCCTTCAGAACATCCTCCAGACTCCCTAAGCCTTCCCTGCCATCATGGGTGCTGCCAGTGCTGGGCGTTGTGTCCCTGGCATGGGTGGTGGCTGGAGGGAGCCCCAGGGTTCCATATGGAAAGAATGGGGGAACTGGCAGTCACGTGAGGATAGGGCATGGGCTGGGACCCTGGGGTGGCTGCCTGGTGCGTACAGGGCAAGCTGTCAGCCGTGCCTCACATGGACTCCGAGGGCCCCAGGACTCAGGACAGAGGGCCAACGCCCACCTGCCCTGTGACCTCGTGTTCCCCACAGTGGAGCATCCGCAGGTGCAGCAGACAGTAGAGCGCCAAGGCTGCAGTCCCACGTTCAGTGCCTGTGCCCTCGCCCTGCGCCCTGCCCAGCTCACGCCCCTTCTGCGGGCCCTCAAACTGCACACTGTGCTGCGCGAACTGCGGCTGGCTGGGAACCGGCTGGGGGACGGATGCATGGCCGAGCTGCTGGCCACTCTGGGCACCATGCCAGGCTTGGCCCACCTTGACCTCTCCTCCAACCACCTGGGCCCAGCTGGCCTACACCAACTTGCCTCCGGCCTCCCAGACCAAGCCACTGCTCAGGTAAAACCCAGAAGGCGTTCTCAGTCCTGTGCCTGGCAGGAACACTGGCCAGCGTGTTTCCCTGGAGTGGGCAAACCCAGCACTGGTCTATTTCTTGCAGACCCTAGAGGAGCTGAACTTGAGCATGAACCCCCTTGGAGATAGCTGTGGCCAAGCCCTAGCCACTATCCTCCGGGCCTGCCCCTTGCTTAGCACCTTGCACCTCCAGGCCTGTGACCTTGGCCCCAGCAGCTTCATAAGCCACCAGGCAGCCCTAGGCAATGCCTTCCAAGGTGAGCTAGGGCCCACCTCATCTGGAAGAGGATGTGTTGAATTACTCAGAGGATCCCTAGGGTGTTCCTCCAGGGTATGTAGGGTGACTAGGCTGTGTGCCCATGGTAAGCCGCAGCTCACCACAGCCTCTGCACTCACCTGTTTGGAGCCTCACCTCTGCCTAAAGTGAATCCCCCCAGGAGCCCACCCAGGCTAAGAACAGTGGTCTAATGTGCTCCACAAAGACATCTTTTGGGGCTGAGGGAAAAGGGGGCTGGAGAGAGGCTAGGCCCAGGGTCTGACCCTTCTTCCAGTCTCAAGCACAAAGAGTGTGGATGAAACGACCCACAGAGGGTCCCAAAGGCTGACAGATCACTGCCTCTGCAGATGCCAAGCACCTGAAAACACTGTCCCTGTCCTGCAATGCGCTGGGCACCCAGGCCCTGGCCCAAGCCCTGAAGAGCCTGCCTGTCCGTTCCCTCCTGCACCTGGAGCTCAGCTCCACGGTGATGCAGGAGAGCAGCGCAGGCCTCATGGAGCCTGTGGCAGAGTATCTGAGCAAGGTAGGAGGGCAGGGCTGTGGGGGCTTGATGGGAGGGGCTCCCTCAGCTTATGGCCCATTTGGGGCTTCACCAGTCATTGGGCTGTAGGTGAGGGGACTCCCTGCTTCCACCTACTAACAGCAGCTCCCAGGTCCAGGACGTGGGCTCTTGGGGACCCCAGCTGTCTCCACTCTAGGCTGGAAAGAGGCACTTGCAGCTTTTGATTCAAACCGAGTCAGGTTCCCTGTCTGCCCTTTGCTGCAGAGGGGGTGCCATGCTGGCCTGGGGGGCATTTGTCCTTGACCCAGGCCTGACTACCACTCACATCCCCTTCCCCCCGTCCTGCCTCTGTCTAGGAGGGCTGTGTACTGTCGTCCCTCAGTCTGTCTGGGAACCACCTGGACGACAAGGCTGTGAGAACTCTGAGCAGGTGATGCTGTCCTACCCCCACAGGAACAGAAGGGCCTATCTATGTTCCTTGCCTGGAAACTGGGGAGTCAGACATGGGGAGACCCCTAAGCATGTTCCAGCCACCCCATTCTCTGAGAGTACCTTGATTCTCTGCCCTGGCCTACCTCTCTGGCTCTGTCCCGTTCTTGCCATGCTGTTTGTATCAAGTACTTGAACCCCACTGACTCTGGGAGAGGCAGCACTGGGCACCTAAGCTGGGCCAGGCATCTGTGGTCCTTGGTGTGGTAGGGCCTTGTCCAGGGAAGCTGACTGCTGTGCTTCTCCTGTGGTTCCCTCAGGTGTCTCACTCTTTGTCCCTCACTTGTCTCACTGGACCTCTCTGCCAACCCCAAGGTCAGCCGCACTGGCCTAGAGGAACTCCTGTCAGCTCTCCAGGAACGGCCTTGTGGCCTCAACTTCCTCAACTTGGCAGGTCAGGGCCTGTGGCCCTCTCCCCCCACCAGCTCTCAGCCACCAGGTCACGTCCAGGGGAGAGTGTGGGAGGCTGATGTGGAGGGAAGTGACAGGGTACCCAGGACAGAGACAGGAGACCCACCCAAGACTGCAGGGCATGGCCACAGCCTCTACCACCTGACCACCCCCCTCCCCACTCCCTTTGGAGGGGGCCTCCACCACAGTATGAAGAGTGCCCCAGTGTCCTCTCATCCTGGTCTTGCCAGGACCCAGTTCTGAGCTGCCTGGATCGTATCTAACTGGGTCCACATTTCCAGGGATAAAGGGTTGGAGGCCAAGAGTAGGTGTGTACACAGGAGTGTAGGATCCCACCCGCACCCATACCCTTATAGGCAGGCTGGGAGACCTGTGCTCTGTGGAGGGTCACTCTCCACGGGTTCATAGGTAAGTATGGCAGCCATTATAAGATGGAAATTTGGGAGTAAGGCATGCAGGCAGAGACCCCTCCTGCCCCATGCCTAGCACAGAGGGGCCCATGGTCCCTTTTCTCCTTGGAGCCCAGGAAAATACAAGTGGGGAAGGGCGACTGGTATGTTCTTAAGGGACCAGTGGTGCGCACTTCAGGACCTGCTGTGTGACCACCGCTCAGACCTGCCAAGAGTGGCTCCCTTAAGTCTGCTTTTGCCGTCGTCTGCAGGTTGTGCAGTCCAGGGCCCTCTGGGCCTCGGTCTCTGGGACAAGATAACAGCATACCTGCAGGAGTTGCGCCTATGCAGCCGGCATCTCACCCTCGAGGACCGAGAGGCCTTGCGCCGGGTCCTGCCCAACCAGCCAAACCCTGGCATGTGCACACTGGATCAGGGCGCTAAGCTCTTCTTCAGGCGCCTCTGACGGCCCCCCTACACCCGCCTTGTGCTTTGCTGCGTGAAAACTGAGAAATCTTAATAAACAAGCCAGCTATATTTGTGTTCCTGCCTGAAATGGGAGGGTGGGGCTGGCTTACTGTGGTTCCCAAGCCTCTTACAGAGACGAGTCAAAGTGACATGCATGTGCTTCGCTGGGGGCGTGGCCGGGGCTCAGGGAGGGCGGTGCGCACGCTCGACTGGGGGCGTGGCCGGAGCTCAGGGA